CAAGTAAATATTAAGTAATTTCTGGGGCAGGATGGGAAGTAACAATTGGAGGGAACTAGGATAGACCTGCTATAAAAAGTGAGCAAAGTCTCAAAAGAAGCTATGGATTCTATAGGCAGAGATGCAAAAATGAAAGTATTTAAAGCTTACAAAGGTGAGGTTGAAGAGCTACATTAATGCAGTTGTTGTTTTCACTATTATTAATATCATCACTGAGACTTACAAAGTATTTTCCTCACATCCCAGAGAGGTAGATAGGACAAGTATCACTATATGAATTTTACAGAAGGAGAAACTGAGTCCCCCTGAAATTAAAATGCCTTGTCCATGACCATACAGTTGGTATCTGAGTGAGAATTTAAACATAGTTCTGATCCCATGACTTGACAACTCACCTAGTTCCAACCCCTTTATTTTGCAGATGAAGGAACAGGCCCAGAAATGGCAAATGACTTGTCTAAAGCCACACAGCTAGTTAGTGACTGGGCCAGACTGGTTGCCTGACTCCTAGGACTACTCTCAATCACCAGCCTGTGTAAGCTATTCTCCAGAGTCAGAGCCCAGGCTGGAGTTGCCCATCAGTCCCAGGGTGTTCATGCCAAATGTGACATGCCAGGGGTTACTGACTATAACATTGTGAATTGGCAGGGACGACTGGATGTCAGCTGCTGCCCTCATACAACTGGCTATAATGTGTGATTTCTATAAAACCCAATATGAGAACAGACAGTGATCTTCAAGGGCACTAGAGGGAGGAAGGCATTTATTTATAGCTTGTTTGTAGACATGTGAATGTCTGCAAAGACTTTAGAGGGATGCAAAGGGAGGCCTTGGCTTTTGATAAAGCTGTTGATGCCCAGGCTTGGATTCGTTGACAGGGCTGGGCATGCATGCATGCTCAGTTACAAACGCAGTGATCAGAAAGGTTTTTTGGCTCTTATATACTTGTCAGCATCCCCAAATGGAGGTGAAAAGGCAATTGGTATGTGTTCTAGTGGAAAGAAGAGTACGCTGAGAATCTTAGGAGACCCAAGTTATTGCTCTGTCTTTGCCACTGATTCCCTGGGTGACTTTGTAAAGGTAACTTCTCTTGCCTGGGCCTCGGTTTCCTCATCTATAAAACTGGTAGGAGAGTTGGACATGATGATCTTTAAAGTCCCTTTTAGCTGTGATATTAAATTATTCTAGTATAGGTCCTTAAAAGTTTGGGTGGAGAGTGGAAAAAAGTGTCCCACTAGAAAATCATGACTTAAATAGAGATTTTGGATATTTGTGCATTGTCTTCATCCCCGCTGCTCCTGTCTCATCCCTGAAACCAATCAACAGTTTGTAATGATTTTCTGCCATCCCTTGATGGGGAAGACCCAAGCTAAATATGGAGAAAAAGGTCTCATGTTTGGAATGAATAGCTGAGGAAACTATGCCACCAACCAAACTGATGAAAAATTGCAAAATTGCAGTAATTATCTGAACATTTCCAAATATCTGTATTTTGGTGCTGTGTGAATCAAATGTCCAGTATTTGGCTGATTTTTTTTTTCAAAAGTTCAGTTTCATGCAGACACACCATGGCCCCATCCTCCAGACTGGGTCTGAAAGTGTTGCTACTTTCAGTGGTCACTGAAGCCCAGCCTGCTCAAATACTAACCAGACCCGTCCCCCCTAGCCCTGCCCCATATTCACATTCAAAGAGTTGAGTCTCAATGTTAATAGAAAGGGGAATGTGGCCAGGGAGCATCATAAATCTTGTGGATTTAAATAAAAATGAGGCTGAAAAGAATGGAGTTGACCTAATTTTCTAAAAATTGACAATAGTGATTTATTAACGAGGACAAGGAAGTCACTGAAAAGTGCCACCGTCATGCCCAATTACAGTGTCATCAAGTGCCAAGCACTGCTGCCTGGATCTTAATTACATTCAAGAAAGATGCAAAGCACATTCTCCAATCAGGGTTTGACACCGAGTGGCTAATTCTTGAAGAATATATTGAAGCAGCTAAATCAGCATTAATGCCCCACGTATGGTAGCATCTTCCTCCCCAAAGCTTTTCTCCTTCCCTTGTCCTTCAGGCTTCCATCCTGACATTTCTCACTGAGATTCCTTTTTGTTGTTGTTGTTGTTCACTCATTTCAGTTATGCTCCATTCTTCATGACTCCACTTGGAGTTTTCTTTGCAAAGATACTAGAATGGTTTGTTATTTCCTTCTCTAGCTCATTTTACAGATGAAGAAACTAAGGCCAAAAAAAAAAAAAGTGACTTGTCCAGGGTCACACAGATAGTGTCTGAGGCCTGACTTGAACTCACACAGATGAGTCTTCCTGAATCTAGGCCCTGACACTTTATCCACTTTACCACTTAACTGCCCCATATTCCTTTTTAGGTCAGCAATTTTCAACTAATTCCCTATTTTTTAACATCCCTTTCTTTCAGACTCCTCTTAGGAGAAACAATCTGACTTGGGATGAATTTAGAATCAATTTTAATAAATGCTGTTCATCCACTCACTCATTCATGTATTAAGTTAAAATATAAAGCAATTTATAAGTGTCAGTCAAAGCATTCATTAAGTACCTACTGTGTGCCAGGCACTACACTAAGTGGAGAGGTCAGCATGGGTTTACATGACTGCAGTGGTGGGTGCATGTTGGGCAAGAGTGGGAAAGATAAGGAAAGATCTGGCATGTGGCAGACCCTGTCAGCTGGGTATGGAGATCATAGGATCATAGATGTAGAGCTGGTAGTCAATTTAAATATCATCAAATCCCACCCCCCTCATTTTATAGATGAGGAAATTGTGGTTAAGAGAAGTTGTGGTTTGCCCAGGGTCATACAACTACTAAGTGTCTAAGGTGAGATTTGAACCCAGATCTTCCCAATTTCAAGTCCAGTACTCTACCCATGATGTGTCTCCACTTATATATTGCCTTAGAGCTGCTTTAGGCAACCAAGTGACATGGTAGAGAGCAATGGCATTAGAGTCAAGAAGACCCAATGCTCACACTCTTTCTTCGGTCAATTTAATTCAGCATTTACTGAATGCTTACTGTGTGTGAAGCATTATGCTGGGTGTTGGGGATGGAAATGCAATGAACACAACCAGTCCCTGCCTTTAAGAAACTTGCTTTCCAATGTGGAAACATATCATGGGCACTGATCATTAAATAGAGTATCAGGTATTTTGAGGGACTTTCTATCCGGTCCTCGCCCTGGGCAGAACTGTCACACAGGCAAAGTGTCAATCCTAACTTCCATTCTGCAACCCTCAGGTACCCAAAACCCTTCCCCCATCCCCTCATCCCCAACTCCCATCCTCATCAAGATCGTGCTCTCAGGAAAAGATCTGGTATCTTTCATTTGTACCATCATTTGAATTTCTCATTGGGCTTTACCACCTAGAGATATTTGTATTTAAAAATCCTAATGCCTCACTACTGAATAAAAAAGATTTTAGGCGTCTTCCATAAAGGAGAGCAAAAGATTTGGGGGCACAGAAGGGTGTCATCTGCAGCCTGAAGATCACGTAAGGAAGCAGAAATCGATTTCATCTACAAACCAGGTCCATCTGAAGGTCTGAAATCCTTTGTCTCATGTTGCTTATCATTCTCATCATAAGCACACTGCTTTTCTTTAGCCATTCATTGTTTATGGTGCTATACCAAGAGGTCTGAACAGGCTGGGGCTCTGACCTCGGGTAGCCCAGAGTCTTGGACAGAAAGGGACAGAAAGTCTGGATGTACAAGCAGAGGACATGCATAACCCAGAATGGATACAGTGTCACTCAGTTATGAAGGAACAGTGAGGTATGTGGTTTGGATGAGGCAGAGTTCACAAGACATCAGGGTACAGTGGACAAAGGACTGGATTTGGAGTTGGAGCACCTTAGTTTGAATCTCAGCTCTGCCACTTACTATCCCTAAAACTTTGCCCAAGTCCTTTGACCTCTTTGGGCCTCATTTTCCTTTTCTATAAAAAGAGGGGATTGATTAGATGAGCTCTTTAGTTCTTTCTGACTTTCAATTGATGATCCTGTATTACGATCCTATCCAAGGCAACTGAAAAGGAAGGTTGACATCCTTGGATGAGAACTTGCCCCCAGCAAGGGATACCAGAATCCCCAGCCTCACAGTTCAGACTGTTGGTAATGCCACTAAAGAATAACTTGGCCTCATTCTAGATCACATCCTGTTGTAGGCAGCAACAGAGCAGGAGAGGGAGAAAGGATTTTCCCAGCCAGATGGGGAACAGGTGGCATGGCAGTGGGTGGCCTCCCATTAGTGCCCATGGCTGGCAAAGTGGCCAGGCCACAGAGCATGTGGCTCTGAAACAAAAGCAGCAGGAGCTTCCCACCCCCTCCTCCACCCTGGATGCCACCCCTCCCAGCCCGCTGGGAGGTAACTTCCCAAGATAATGATGCCAGGCTGCTTGACAGAGAAGCCAGGCAGCAGGCAGGGCCACTTGCCAAGGCTCAGGTACATCCCTAGCCCATCTGCCAGCCTGGCTTGGTTGACAGGAGGAGGCAGGGCTCTCAGCAGGGTCATGGTGTGTGGCTTCAGCAAAAGGCTCTAGAACTGTACACACAAGGGTATCTCTCTCTCTCTCTCTCTCTCTCTCTCTCTCTCTCTCTCTCTCTCTCTCTC